TAATATTCATCTTCGTCGACGGATTACAAACTTCAATCAGTCAGCACCGCTTTGGCCAGTATAGTATAGTAAATTTTAAAAGACGTCGTACTGATGCGCAGAATTTATAGAGGAACGTTTCAAATGCAATATGCGGTTGGCTCGGTACCGGTAAGAAATATTTTATTGACAATAATAAGTAAATAAACTGCAGTGCGGTATAGGAGACCGATAGCTGCTTGGGATATAATTGCTAAAGACATAAGGAAAATATTTATAAATAATTTTTCGTATAGAGAAAAACACGTATGCGGCATATCTGCCTCTTAAGTACAGAGACAATGCTGTACTATTACTGTAATAAAATTTAAAGTAAATTGAGTGCATGCTGTGCTGACAAAACAGATAATAAGAAATGGAAGAAATACAGATCACTTCAACAGTACTTGGAAAGAACGTGGAAAACGATATCAAAGAACTCGACGATCGATAATCATATTCGAAGCGATAATAATAATGTTAATTAATTTGGTCTCGTAAATTCCAATTAAAGACGGTAGATATGGTATTTACGAGTGTTTACTCGCTTCTCATGCTGCCTCTTCCCTCCTTGCGGAATATTGATGTTGCGCATTAACAGAAATTAGGAATAAATCGAATGAATTATAGTAGCTGCACAACGGTTTAATTAATTATCGAAAAATTGCAGATGTTAATAAAATAAGATAAACACGGTGCACAGAATTCCATAATACAAAATGTGATTTACGGACGATGTAACGAGGTTCGAATAAATTATTTTAGTGCTGCAGATAACGCAAAGAAAGTAAAGGAAAGATAGCGAATAATGATTTGCCATATTTAGGCAGCAGTAATTTCTTTTTGAACAAAGGTGAAGAACATAATAATGCTGCTAATATTTTTTTTTTTTAAAGAGATTTTTTGTTGAGACAGAATTTCCCAGCATTAAAAACCCTTGCGATATTTACCAAGGACACGGTTGCACGCAGTATATTAGAATCATCATCCTGGGTGGCGGCATACAGCACAAGCATACGCTGAAATTATACAAAGAATGCCGGATTTACGCAATATGTGATCCTTTCTCCTCCCTGGTATCGATAAACTCATCGGTGAAATAAAAGGTCATAGGGATACACTGATAAACGAAATAACAGCTCTTCACAGTATAGAACTTTAGGAAAGGTCAGGGGCATAAAATGAATTAATTAATATAGGTGGAAAAAAATAAAGGTCATGGGCACTCGTGTTGGTTAGGCAAAATAACCAACAAAACCTGGAGCCGCAAGTTGTTGTGCTTTTTCTAAGGTGGAATACGCGGATGTAAAGTAGCTTTATTGATAGAAATAAGCCAGATGTTATTAGCTAGTTGAGCCTGATGTAAAGCTAAAGAAAGATACAGTAGCAAGCCGGTTTTATACCGAGCTGCTGGTAAGAAAACTGTATAAATAGAACATTGTAGGTGGAACTAAAGTAAGTGTAACAGAAGTACATAAAGGATACAGTACATATAAGGAATAGTAATTATAGATATAGTGTACGTATAGTACTTATGTAATGTACTCGTAACATCTTTAAAAGTTACTTGTCTAGCGCAACTTGACCTTTCGTTCAACGCTGGTAACATTTTTTGGTGTCACCAGCGCTGGTGTCACATTTCGCTGGTGACCCGCGAAATAGACATTTTTTCTAGTGTCTAGCATGTTTTTTTGTCCTTTAATTACCGTGATTATATCATATCAGTTTAAGGTCAGTTTTCTGCATGAGAATAAGCCATGCAGGTAGTTTTGTCTACGCCGAAAGTGGGTTTATTGGCTCCACTGATGAGCCTGTGTATATGTCTGCATTTCTTCCGTCTTTCCAAATCCGCATGCGCAGGATAATAGTTGCATAATTATTATGGGGGGGGGGGGGAGGGGGGGGAAGGGCCTTAAGTACCGGCTTTGGGGGGTCCATAGAATCTATGTTAAAAATTTTCCTTGGGGGGGGCACGGCACCGTGGCCCCATACCTCCCTACGCCACTGCATACTAGTAACCTCACCACTGCTCACCGTTTTTCCGGTGCGTTCCATGTTTAGCTTCATAAACGGGATAATGCAATATACGTACATTCATTTAATACCGTATTTATCGAATTAGAAGCCCAGGGTTACAAATATTTCAAATGACCCACGGGGTGGGCTCCAAATACGGGCTTGTATTTAGGGGGGGGGGGCTTCCATTTTTCAAACCAGCTTTTTGGCATTTTTTAATATGGGCTTTATGGTATTTAGTTAAGCCCATGGGCCTCTATTTCGGGGGGGGGGGCGTATAACTTTCAAGCGACCTTAGGGGTGGGCTCTAATTACGGGGGGGCTTCAAATTCGATAATTACGGTATGTTGTATACATTCAATATGCATATACATGCATATATCGTACAATCATATCACTTTAATGCGTGTATCTGTTTATGCCGTACGCAATGCATGTATAATAACATTCTTTAAAGTTAGAGTCACCGTTGTTGTCGAGATATATTATACACACATATATATTATACACACCGTAAAATCGTCATTTGGTTAAGTACTGTACTGTCAAATCGAAAAACGCGGAAGCAAGGGTGTAGTAACCCGTCTGTCGCCCCTGCTTGGATACCATCCTGGGCATACTGTACTTCTATGGATAATTGCTCCCGTCCAGACTGAAGCGGTCATAACTGCGGCCTTAATACGAGTATTTTGGCCTTATGAGGTTGCTGTTTACTTACGTGTAGTTGTATTACGCGGTAGCCATTGGGCCCATCTGTGTGCAGTCAGTGCAGATGGTTTCAAATGAAATCATAAAAGATTTAAAAAAATTTTTATGTATACATTTCGGGAAAGTAGAAAAAATTTTTCTGTCATCGATTATATGTATGGGATCTAGGCTGGAAACTTATGTACTTGTATACGTATCAAGGGCAGCGTGCAGATTTATACAGATGCAGCGAAGCCATTTTCTCACTGCTTGTTTAACTGAATAATAATCCGGCACAATAACAACAGAGTTTTTCGAAAATTTCGTTACATATCCGACAATAAATAATTGCTATGCCTGTATAAATAAAGAAAGTAGCGACGAAATTATACTGCCTGTCTGCCCCCGTGTAATCCTGTCGGAAAAAAGGAAGCGCAAAATTTTAGGCATTGGCTGTTTTGATCAGCCATTTTGCGTGGCGTCCCATGAGCTTCTCGCGATCGGGCAGCTTGTGGAGGTTCATGGTATACAGCTGACGGAGATTGTGCCGGCATTCTGCATGATTACATATTGCTGCCATGGATGAACCACTGGATTCGAAGGAAGGATGGATTTCTACCCAAAGTCGTATCAGTTTTGCCATCTGTCGATGAATCTAAAGTGTGTAATTGTAAAGCGTATATTCGGAAGCGATGGGTTCAGGTACGAATTTGTAAAAAAGACCGCCCGCCCGACATTCATACGTTGATTTCCTTTCGTTTGAGAATTTTGTGCACGTAGGTATACATGAAATTTACGTCATACTATATATACAATGTAGATAATAGGGCAAATTATGCAAGTGGAATCCAAAATGCCTGTGCACATATAACTGTGTAATTTTAATCTTTTTAATGCCAGATTATGGGCGGACCAGGGCGGTCAAGGTTTATACCCAATCTAAAACCGCACTCGTAGACGTACACTTAATTAAAAATAATAATTAAATAATGCAACGAATGAAATACGTTCTAGTTATGCATCTTATAATTCAGCAAAATCTTTGCTAGTAGTATCACGACGAGCGCATTGTAAGGGAAATATTGCTCTGGTCGAATTCCAGGATAGACCCGTAATCTGGAGCCTTCGATAAGGGAAGTGAATAGGAGGATTACCATCACCCCAATCCCAACCGTCAGAAACTGTCGCTGATGCGAGTTCATGGTAACCGACGAATGATTTTAAGAGCAATGATATGGAATGCGTCGTCTACGTACTTTGAAATACTGAGCCTGTCAAATTAATTATGTTAGTAAAACATGCTTAAATCTTCAGCATCACAACATGAGATCGTGTTGTAAATTCAAAAACTGTAGATAAACTATCTGACGACAATGGAAAACAATCTTCGAAAATGGTCCCGAATGGCAGATTGGGGATGCACATTTCCGAATGGTGCTGTTTATATACCTATGGAATAATACTGCATTAAGCGTTCAACCGTTGTACTGTACGTTGCCATCGATTATTGAACTGTTATAAAGGTTAACAGAATGTGCCGAAAAGGTTACGGTTACGGATGTTCGTTCATCCATAATCTTCCAGGTCATGATCATTCACGGTAATCTGCAGATGTATAATGTAACACTAGTTACTGTTCCTGCTAATTGCCTCAGTTGTATTGCAAACAACACCTCTTAATTAAGTCACTCGTTATGGCCGGGGCGGAGGAAGTGCTCTCTCTGGGGACGATGTTCGAGTTTTTGCGGCATATGAGCTGTCATACCACCTGCGGCAAGGGACGAGGAGCTCCATTCATATCTTACTCATCGCAGTACGCAGTAGATCATGATCATTGTTCGCACCAGTTGAAACGATGAGAAATTTTTGTTGCGTTGATCGTTCCCTAATCCACCTTAGTACTGTTCGTGCAATTCCCGATTTTTTGCAAGCAAAGGATTCCCCACTTGAGGAATACATATCATCCACAAATACACTGCCAGGTCGAAGCTATCTGGATTTCAACAACAGACCAAACCTGATTTTAATTTTAGTTTGACTTGAAAAAGCGAAAAACCTGCAAACGCAGTCATTTTATTTTTTTATTTTACTTAATTTACGATGGCCATCTGACCGTGTAGCGCCGTGTAATTGTCTAACCGCAGATTTCGAAATTGTAATTGGATAAACAACTGCGCCGGGGCGCGGTTGTTAAACAGCCTTTAGTTGCTTTCAAAATCAGGCACAAGAATCAGAAAACCTCTGCATATGTATGAAGAAACCGGTTTTCTGCTGCTTTCTCAGTTGAACGCAAATGTAGAAGGAAATCTTTCGGCTAAGCCTTTGAGGTCTTCCCGGGCAAGATTCTTAGCCATCCATGTATTCACTTTTTCATTCACTTCCGGTGTCAGATGCTCTCGCCAAGCGCCTGGCACCCCTGTAGTTATTCGAATTAATATAACTGACAAAATAAATTATTCTGTGTAATTGGGCTGTAATATTTTCCCGTAAGCGTTGATTTACCGGAACGAAGAAACGGGGAAATATTGTGATCGTAGATACCGGCAATGTGTTTGTCGTAGCGATTAGTCAGTGGGTTAGCTTTCATCGAATCAAAAGAGCACACTCGCTCCATGACCGTTAACTGTTCTTCTGTTAAATCTTTTCCCAAGAACTTGCCGATCCGTTTGGCTGTATCATGGAAATTCTGCAACAGGAAATCCATAGTTGAATTGCGTTTAGCTACCAACCTCGGTAATTTCTTCGAAGGACACAATAAGGACATTGGGGTGGTCTCGCATCTTCCACTAGCTGACCAAATGGTCGAAATATGGACCATACATGATTTTGTCCGTGACGAAGGCGTCAACGTTATCACTAAGGTCACCGGTATATTTGGAAAGAATGCGTGAAATAAAATGGTAGTACAAGACCACCATTACGTTTTTCAAATTTCTGATGTGGTAAATGTCAGAGACCGCTCACTCGAGGCGGTAGACACCTCTTGTGGCTTTCTCTGTCGCCCGCCCGCACATGGCAACGCCATTCGTGCCGCGCTATTACGCTGCTCACTCAGGGTATACTTTGTCTACGCTGACCAATCAGCGCATTTCTGCACTCTTGGGGGCGTAGCCCAGCGCTTACGAGCGATTCTATGCTTTACGGCATCAGCTGTTGCATACCTGCAGCACGCTGCATCAGTTATCACGATACTGACTTGCGCGCTTGCAGCTACTTTTTTCCACAGTGATACCGCATTGGTTTTCTGTTGGTTTTTGGTTGTTGCTTTATTGTTACCAATAAAGGCATATTTGCCTCATTTCTTCCTGCTTCTGTGTCATATCTGACATAAACAATCTGCAAATTATAATTAAATGTACAAAAACGAGCGCAACTGCGAATAATTTATAGAAAGAGGAAAATTCGGTTTTCGCAAGGGCGCGCAGTACTTTGGCTCCGTTAGGCAGTACGCTAAGTGGAGACGCATCGTATCCCAAATTAATGAGTGAAGTGTGTTCGTCCGCCTTCAAGCTTAAGCAAATCATCAGTGGACCGTGGTCCCTATTCGTTGAGAGGAGTACAGAATTCGAAAAAAGGGATTTTACGATCCAAATGTGCCCCCGCTTCCATAAACACGGGATCGGCATCATGCTGAATCATTTCGACGATTGCCGATAACCGGGAAGATCCTATAAAGAATCGACCGTACAGACTGTACAATATCAGTACGTCGTGATCTTCTTGCAGTACTAAGGACCGTTTAATTTTAAGCACAGTTATAATTAATTAGTGGCGCCAGTTCTGTGGCATCAGCAACTGCCACACTACTCACGCTACGTAAACCGTTTGCTACTGCAGATAACACCTTAGAAACTAATTAAATTCTCAGCGCAGTAGTAGCAGTATAAATGTACAATATACCGTACTCTGAAACTGATAACTTTTTAAAACCCTTAATCTGATCTGTAGTTTATCATGCAAATAAAAGCTAGAAAAATATCTCACTGCGATTACTTCTATGCGTTGAGCGTAGGTCCGCAATAATGCTGTAACACTGCTAACTGCTTGTTCACTGCACTTTCAATGTCCCCAATACCTGGTTTCGGGAAACCGGAAACAGCGACGTCTTCCCGGCGAGCAACCCACGCATTAACATCCGGCTGCACAAGGTAGAATGGAAAGTGAGTGTTTGTACTTTTGTATGGCTTGCTGCAATGCGACACAATTGAAAGCCGGTGCGAGCATCAACATTACAATAACCTTACCATACAATTTTGTGAACGTTTTAAGCAGCAAATCAGAGAGCCCGGTAACAGAAAACTCGTGGTGTGCAGCAGAATGAATGAAGGTGATGCCAAAACGATTCTTTTTTCAATCTAGAAAAATACCTAGACCACGACCACGAGGCTTGGTGAATCTGAAACAGCCTCCAAACATTTTTTTTCAATTTTGTGCCAAATTTGGCCTACCTTGGCACAGTTGGACTGATTTGTGCTTGGAAATGAATCATCACATACCCGCAGTATCATACTATACGTCGTAGACGTACTGTCTCACATTGTCTGTCATATCTATATAATTATTCTTGTAAACGACGGCACATCTTTAATGTCATTAATTTTTAGTGGAGCTTAGATACATTGGTTAAATACTAATAATCTCGCGTAAGTACTTACACGAGATATTACGGTACGAGATAATAAGTGCAGGTGCATTGCAGTAATAAACTGCTATAAGTACAACGTTAACAAAAAAAAATATTATACAGATACGGTACTTACTCTAGAGTAGGTCTTTGCGCATGTATGCACGTCTAAATCCTACTGCAAAATAACGTTGATTTTAGGTTTTCAGATTTTTTGACTACATATATAAACACTGCTTTTAATGAAGTATAGGTTCCACCATTTATTTTGTACAAACATGAAACACGTGTACTTAATACTTAATACTAATCAATAGTCGCCCCAGAATATATGAATATCATTATTGTGATTTAAAAACTCATATGCGGACTCGGACGGCGGACGCAAATTATAAGCATTGCCGGAAAAGCGCATACTAATTATAAGTTGTTATTAGCTTTAATTAAGGGCTCACTTGGATAAGTATCGTATACTTTTATATTTAAAAACGCTACATGAAGCGCCATTTAAAAACCATTTTAATTTAATAAACTAAACCGACGAAGATTTAATATGAGCCATCCGCCAGCAAACGATCCACCCGCGGCCTTGTCGGTGCGCGTGAAGACCTGAAACTGGAAATCATTACAGCTAAAACTGAACCGAAATCAGACGCCGGAGAAAAGATGACAGCTAGCTTATTCTTCAAATTATATTAAAACAGAAAAACGAATTCAGTGAAAACCCAAAACTCTAAACCGATTTGAAAAACGAAATGAACCCACGCACTGCACGCGGGTGACGGGCCCGAGCATTTGCTTTTGGATTACTGCCACCCGCCCTACGAGCGGCAATTTATACTGATGCCATCAGAGAAGGGTAGACTGATTATGACTTGTAATTTTCTCGTTTTGTCAGTTGCCATTGAGTTTGCAAAATTTGTGTGGTGGTCAATTTTTTTTTGGTAGTAAAGACATTTTAAAAAGATTTTTGCAAATGAAGTACCGAAGTGCTTAACTCTTCCAAGATTAATGAAAGTTCCCATCTAAGGTCGCTGCACACTCCTCGGCAGCGAATCGTTTTCGTTCAGACGTCAACATGATGGAAATTCCTAGCTTACTTCACGGTTCTTTACGGAGCAGTTATATGATAGTGGCGTTCTTCGCATTGGTTTCAGATAAGCGAACACGAACAACGGTTACCCAGGCGAGTCTTGCAGAATTTCATGATATCCGCACATACGGCACAGTCTTTGAAAACCTGACACTTCTCTGCGCAAGGTATCATTCCGCGAACGCAGAAAAGCTTTCCGCCTCATCCAGCAAGGGTTCGCCGTGGTCGTCCAACAACGGCAATGTCCAGTGGATGTCCATGCAGAACTCGCCTTTCCCGGTGATGGCCGCGCCGATGCGCATGCTGAGAATCTTCTGCTGGCCCGGCACACGTCGCACCATGCAGTCGTTGTTCTACAGTGCCTACTTTAAGCTGGGCATTGAAGATGAAGCCGTGGATTGAAGATCTGTACCGTGGAGCGTCCTCCGAAGAAGTGGAAAAACAGTGCAATGCGCATGACGCTGGTTCGCGCTGCTGCCCTGGCGGGATCGCAGCATTCGTCTGAACCTTTTACATCGACCTGTCTGGGCGTGGATACAAATAAACCGTACGTGCTCACCTTGAAGATTGTCCCCGTGGATCCGTATCGTTTCCTGGCTTTTTTGACGGGCGCCTGTCTGCTGTTCTTTGCGCGACGAATGAGCCGCAATACATTTTTCATTATTCTTCCGGGATCAGTATTGCCTTGGTAGGTTCATTGTTGCTGGCGGTGTTTTTAATCAGCCGGATGATTCCGCGGAAAGCGGCGGGGATCTCGTTTCTGGTTGGTGATTTATTTTCTCTAGACGTTGTGGAAGAATTTTCGGGAGACAATTTACGATCATCGCAATTATGTCGTGGCATACATTATCATCGTCTCAACCATCACCTTCATGCTCATTTATCGCTTCGGCGGGATTCGCAGTCCGGAGACAATGAATTGAATATTATGCAGTGGAAGTTGCAGATTGTGGGCGCGTTGATTATGTACTTCAGCGTGACGACTGAACCGATCGGCATGGCGTTGATTTGCGCCGCCGCCGCGTTTGATATGGTCATCCACAGTGGGTGTAATTTCCGGAGATTTAAAATTATTAATAAACTCTTTCCGCCGCGACCGCGCAAACTGCTGTCACCCGATGAGTTGGAAGAGGTGGGACGACGGGAGACAGCCAAAGAATTAAAGAAGCTGCGGGAGTATGCCAATAGTCCCGAGTAAGTCATGGTCATTGGTAAAGCGACTGAGCAGTCCGTCGCGGTTCGGTTCGTTTGTGGAAGACGGTACGCATCTTTCGCTAGATGAGGTGGACACGTATGAGCGGGAAGTGTCGTGCAGTGGATCTGACGATGAGGACGAACCACCGGCGTCGGCGCCCGTGCAGCTGCGCTTCTCCTCATCGGCCAGCTCGCATTGGCGGTCACATCGGAATAGTCCGCTGCGATCGGCGCACTCGCCGCCGTGGAATCGACATGGGAGCCGGAACGGGAATGGAGTCGATGATTTGATGGCTCATAATTTATGAGTAGCACCAGCGTGTCGTAACTGTTTTTGCATTTCGAGGTACGAAATTGTGATTGTGTTCTATCTTGGCAAAACTTTTTTCTCAGTATTCTCTTTAAATGTTCCCCGCAAATGCGCAGACGAAATTGAACTCGTATTATGTTAAAGGGCAGTTTGAAATCGTAGCACACTTTTTCGCTGTTGAATTGCTTTGCCTTTGCTTTGCCTTTGCTTTTTTCGCTGTTGAATTGCTTATATGAAGATGCAGACGAAAAGAACACAGAACAAGTTTGGAAATTGGTTAGTGCTTACACAGTAGCAGTTGAAAACCTCAAAGTGATTACCCTTTTGAGCTTAAGAAAGCCGCTAGCCCAAGAGAGGGATCTCTTATTGGTTGTTCATTAAAATCCGAACGATCCAAACTGTAGATCATGTCGGTGGGATCAAGAATGAAATCTTCCGGTGGATTGCAAATAACAAAACGCTTCGCTGCTCTCGAGCTGTCATCTGCCGGGTCCACCTTCCGGTAGACACCCAGACATAATCAGCTAAATGTTACCAGTGCATCGATAAATAAACCGCCATACGCCGACTCCTATGATCAAACAAGCGAATTCATGAAATTAAGATAATTTTTATTTCTGGGCGATGTCACTGATGCAGTCGTATTCTTACCGCATGCACCGATACGGCCCGGAAGAAATTGAAAACTGGTTTACTATAACTTAATTTTTCACCATTGCGGGTTTGGAAATATTGGCGCCGTCGATCATACCTATAGATAAAACGATTATAACAGTAATACACCCCGTATGGACATAAACATGCGAGAAAAAAACAAAAAAGACGGTATTTGCATCAAAAATTTACCGGCTCCCTCGGCAAGAATTTTTTCCAGTTCCAGCGATGCCCCACCGAAAATCATGGTGCGGAAGACGTTGACGATAACAGGGTTAAAAAATGGCTTTATCATCAATAAATCCAGCAGAATGCCAGAAAAGCACCGTCCGCAAGCATAAGGCTGTGTCATGTAAAACTCCGTCCCCGGAAGGTCATCGTCATCCTGATCCAGAAACTGCGCATTGGTATCCCGCACTAGTAAAAACGTATATTTTCGGCCACGGGCATTGGAAATGACAGGATCAAGCAAATTTTTAATGTAAAAAAAAACAAAAGAAAAGCCAAAAAGATAATGAAATACAGGAGTCACTGAAATTTGGAAGTTTCTGAGGAAGCGTTTACTAGATTAAAAGTACTGTACAAACGAGTACAGTTTACAGTAGTTTAATTACCTACGCACCACGTAGTCTAGTTTAATGCTCTGGTACCATTAAAGAAAACGCTAGAAACTTAGAGAAGCCTCTCTGATAGAAAAAGCAACACAGATCTTAAAAAGATTGATTAAAAATACATTGCAGATAGATACATATTTAAAGAGCATCGATTCTGAATCTCCGACAGGAACGACTTCCGCTTTGTTGTTCAATAAAATCAGCGGAAGCCCTTCATTGGCTTCGTTTGACATAGTTGTTTTATTTGTACAGATCTGATGACAATTATTCGGTCCACTTGTAATGACTGTACCTACATAGGTACCTTTGTTCAGTAAAGGGGCTTCTGTTTATGCGCGATGCGGCTCGTTCAACAGGAGTCGTTACTACAGACCCGTCGTTGCGTCCTTTCGACTGTTTAAAATTTTGTGCACCTACGGACCGACTTCCTAAACTCTTCTCTTCCCATTAGCCGGCCAACAAATAATATGTCAAACGAACCCGAAACTTTAATAATCTACTATTTGGCATATCAGCCTGACACAGTAATATTATAATCGGCAGTACAGATAGGACTACTCACGAATATCGGTTATAAGCGGCACTTCATAACCAGTTTGCCGGGCTCGCGTCTTCAGTGAAATTCTTTGTTGGTACATGCTTTCGCCTTCCTCGCGGCTGTAAATCAGAAAAGACAGATATTATGACACTTTCTTGTCGCCAATGTTTCTTAAAAAACAGAAGCTGTTCAGTATTATTTACGATTTGCGGCCTCTTCTTCGGAAAATCTCATGGCGCGCACATTGAGAGTAGCCAGAATTACCGTTTTATCGATGAGCGCATTATCGACATTCTGCATTTGAGCACCGGAACTCGGTGAACCGATAATCACGCACATTTTACATGTGTTCAGTGTGACCGAACGCAGGTCAGCTCGATTTAAAGCGGTGCCCTACGAAAGAATTGATCAAGTAGTTGTAATACCAAAAAAATTAACGATATCATATTCTAACAAGGACTAAATGTCAATGCTTGTATAAGAGTGAAACATGCCATACTCCAAGTCTCCAAACACCGTAGTTACAGAGTATGTTAACACAGTTTACTTTGCTGCCATCAGTTAATGCCGAAAAAATTCTTTTTACGAAAAATATACTACAGTATATCTTCGGAGTATAACCGCGCGTAGCGCAACTTACTCTAACGACATGTATTCGAGGCAAATTCGGAAGATATGTCCATTCCTACAATAAAATTCACCGATTCTGCTAAATGGACGAGGATAACGACAGAAGAAAAGTCGAAGCACCTTCTTCATAAAACTGTGGTCACTCAAAATGACAACATCGCGCAGCTCCCGTGGCTTCACAACACTGGACCGTAGAAGTGGAATAAAACTGTGCAAACCAACGATTTGAGATCCCGGTTGCGATAAAATGCAAAAAACGATGTGCCCGCTGAATTCGGCCTTGGCAGCTTGTTGTCGCGTTGCTTAAAAAATAACAGTCCCGTTCGGATACGGAGTGGAAGCAAGTGCGTGCAGTGCTTACACAGTACGTACTTAATACTGAGAAATCCCTGCTAAATGCTAACTATACCACCGCTTAAAATACAGTTTCTCCCGATCGATTTTATTCATTACAGTGTTTGTGTATTTGTGCATTGTTGTAAAAGGTTGTGCGAATCAGTTCCGTAGAAAGCACTAATTTGACAACTAAAAATGCGATAGGTTACTTTTCGGTTGTCTACATATTTAACTGTTTTAACCGGTGGTGCCACTGTATATATGCAATTCAAATCATTAGAAGATTACAGTAACTTTTAAATGATGTGACTAAAGATAATAGTCATCGACTGCGCATAGAAGTATTCTGGATAGCGTCATACGTACTCCGGCTTTACAACCGTGCTTTACAAACCAACGAATAGGTTAAATTCACGATCGTAGTGATAGCAGATCTTACCGTTTCCGAAACAGTTCTGTCATCGAGATTTCGGGTCTTCACCAAGTTCTTACGCAATGCACGCTTGCATTTAATTCGATTTTCATGTAACACTAACGCTACTCATATCAGAAAAACGGTGAAAGAAGGTTCATTCACAACTCGGATGAAAAAAATTATTAATGCTGGTTAATCAACCAGAAGACGTATTCATTACAGGCGATACATTCTAATAAAAGCACTAAACACATAAATATTCCTCCGACAGCAGAAATAAATTACGCATAAAATCAAACGCTTGACAATCAAAAACTGAAGTAATTAAGACAACTTAAATTATCTCTTCTCAATAAAAAGAAAAAATGGTTACAAAATACTAATAGCCCCCGCGTCATGATGTGCTTGAAGATGCAGGCGTACAGGAGAGGAACCATGCGGAAGCTAAACCACCAGGGAAGCTTCTAGCGGAGTGGACGCGCGTGCCCGCTTGTATTTGCGATGTGGGCGCATCTCATATCGACGGCGCGTAAGCCCTCTCTTCATGCTAAGAATAAAGGAAATGTAAACAAAAAATATATTGCAATGTTTAATTAGATTAACGATCTCGTACGTTTTATCCCAGCCGTGTACGCTTTGGTAAGTGTACCCATTTAGCGGCTCGAATTCGCGAAACGCCAGCTACAAACACAAACACAATTAACTGGTGATTTCATGGAGCAGCCGGTGGGACAAGAAAAGAGCAGCGACAGAATACGACGGAGAAAGGCTTAGAAACTAGAAAATAATTTTAGTGCCACTACAGAGTACGTACGCGATTTTTTCGCTGCAGCTTCACCACCGCGAATTTACGCGGAGGAGAAAAGTGTGCTCGATCAGCGGCGCGGGTCGGGACGTTATCAATGAAGGCTTTATATGACCGAGGAGTCATTTCCTCCACACGGCGTTGCTCCTTAAAATCGCGAACCGGCGTACCAAGGGCGTCATCAGAGGCGGGCGTGTGGTAATGTTTACCCAGCCGAACTGAGCTGAGAGAGGACGGTGTCTGGTCAGCGCTTCCGACGTCGTCCTCGTCCTGCCATACATCGTCTGCCCCCAACTCATTTCCCGTTTCCTCGTCCTCTACACTGCCCAATGTCTCGTTAGGCTGAGAAGAAACGCGAGACGGCGGTGTACCAGATACGCCGCGCACCGACCCGTCCTACCAAAGAAACGGCGTCACCACACACACTGACCGCGAAAACTGTGGCGCCATTTGCTTTCACCTGAACATTTTCGTTGGCCATGGCAACCGGATTGCCGGCGTTTGCATGTTGACCCGCTTGGACCACGTTTTGCGTCCCGAGAAAGGCAGACGGCAGCAAACGGTGAATGGCACCAACGACACTGTCCGACTTTGAACACAAAACTCAAACCAAAACACAATAAAATTAGCAAAAACGACAGCTTACTGATTTAGCAGTTTTGATAACATAAAACTGGTTGCCGCACACGTAGCCAAACGAATGTAAGCTGGCCTTATCGCGCCAGATGCGTCTGATTTCCGGTCCCGGGTGTGTACCAATGCCTCCATCTACAACGTCAAACAATCGTGAAGATGTTATATTTATTATTATTAAAGTTATTCTACCCATCAGCAATTTATACAGTAATTCATACACATTTGACATAGCATAAACGAAGCAAAATACATATGCACGTTAACGTATCTCCACTGTACATACTAGTAGATCTGGATTCATAATTTCAGGCTCCTCACACTTTAAGCTTCCAGTCAAATTATTTTGAGGTCAATCTGGCTTCCAGCATTTGAGACGAAATACGAGTAAAAGCTTTATTTCCCATTTTAATGGTTAGATTTTGGTCGTGTATTTTTTAATTTTTTTAATATTGTTATTCAAGTACTTTCGATGAAGAAATTAAGCAAGTAACATACCATTTACCAATACATTAAATACAATGCAATATAAATACAATACGAAATATTTCTGAAGATGAACGATATACCTATTGTATTACTATTATTTCATTAAAAATCTTTTGTTTTCAATTGAAAAGGATCAGCTGATGACATGGCCGCGGAAAAACCCGGCAACGAAACACCCGACGCATTAAACACCACACCTACCTCGCCAGGATCTTCGAAAATGTGGATGCCGTTACGGGTTACAGTGATGGAAATCTTCGGCTGATGGTCTTCAGCTTTCATCTTTTCGCTATGTCCATCTAGCGCAGCGTCGTCCGTGGCCCCGTTCTTCAAGCGTACCACACCGACCAATCGCCCACCGAACTGAAACTCATCCATCGGCGAAACCACTGCAACCGAACAGAAACAATCAGAGTTTGGTTCGCATCATCCCCGTACGCACGACTTCCAGCCACGCCGACGACGACCACGCTGACCTGCAGCACGCCGGTTGGAGTTCTCGCTGCCTTCACGACTGTTTAGAAGGGTAAGGGCGGAGTCATCTAACACTCGGCGACGTTTTTGGTTGGCCGTGGCGCCCCGCAGCACACCGGATGCCGTTCTGCTGGTACCCGCGCGTGGGGCTGCTTTCCGGCGCTGCGCCACGGGACTGGATGATAAGGATTCCATCTCCAGAGAGACAATAACCGTCTGTTTTGTGGGCGCGCGGCTGGGACCAGTTACCGGAGTTCCTCCCGCACCTGCGTAATCAAACCGACATTTTCAGCTTTTTCCTGACTACACAACGTTGTAATGCTCTACCGGTAGCCGAAAACATAATTTCAGTATTTAAACAACATATCCCAAATTCTGGTGAGATGGGCAATACCAAACTGCATCGGTTATGAATGTATTTTTACTTTTTCAATACTTGGCATCTTTGCATTTGACCTAAAAGTTGAGCGTATAATAGATAATAGTTTTTACCGTATAATAAATGCCATGACTTTTTACAGCCGTTAATAAGCATGCGCTCTCGTTCGGCCGTTATCCATCAAATAAACCTATGTAATACTACTAATACTAGATAGAATATTATAATTTTATTGCGGCTGCTATAATTTCTTTTCATTAATATTTTCTAACTAACGTGTTCATTTTTATATTTTATAGTCACCGTATTTATGTTTTACTTACGGAACGCATGAGCACACAATTACAGAGTAAGCAACAACAAGCTATAGCTGAAGTAGCCGTTGGTCACGGAGATCTAGAACTTTACTCATCAACCGGTTGTTTACCTGCTTGATTGCCATCGGCTGCACGTGAAACGGAACGGGACGGAGTCGGCAGCTCTTCAAACGAGGACTCCCGCTCGTCGGAAGAAATTGATGGAATTCCAGGAAGAGAAAGTTCCTCCTGCTGCTCAGCATCCGACACGCGAGCCTTTTCCGGAGCGAGGGCGCCGTCCTCCTTTTTCTTCAACTACATGCAATTTTTTATTACAGTAGTATTATTTTTAAATTTTTTTTCGAAACCAGAACTGCAGAAACGACAGCTCACCATCCACGCACGGAACTCCGTTTTATTGCCCTGCGGAAAACGGCTCCAGAAGATTTCTAAATGGCGCAATTGGAGCACGGGATCCGCGATTCCCCACATCTTCGCGGGCCAATCTTTCTGGATTCGGCCGTCCGAAACTTTGACCAAATCGGCCGTCAGGCGGTAATGAGTGAGATCTTCCGGTCGTCTCGATCGTGTCTTTATCGTCTGGACAGCCTCCACGTATGGCTTCCAGTGGTTCTTCGCCCCCGCACCGGCATGCTCACGGCAGGTGACGAGCTCCGGAATACAAAGATCCTCACGACCATCGTATCCCAGATCAAAGATCTCCCGTGAGCCGCACCCATCACATTTCGGTCGGAAACGGCCGGTTTGCGCGCCGGCAGTGCTAGGGTTGGACGCCGGGCCCGTAGCGCATCCGTAGTAAAACGAAATTGCCGCATGGTGAGTGGTTGCAATGTGCGTTAGCACATGGCTGCAAATAAATTA